ATGCACAACTTCTGGTAACAAATTTTACAGACTTTTGAGAAAATGGTGGAGAGTTCGATATATATTTTTTAGGATTTTCAGTCAATTAGTAATTGAAAAAAGTAATCCTTTAGTTGTGTTTTGCAAAATCTTTTATTTCTCATTTGTATTATTTCTGATGAATAAAACTTGTGATGGAATAATTATTACTAGCTTGAAAAGCTAGCTGATTCGTATTTCATAGTATGTGGGTTATTTCAAAAGTTTTGTTAAAACTAACATATAGAATTATAGATACTTGAGTTTAATACTATTTTTTGAATCTTTATAATAGTATGTGAAATGTTATACATGATCAGAGAAAATTAAAATCATGAAGCTCGCATAATCAGATGGATTTTTTTGTTGTTTATTATATCATTAGATACACATGTGCTGTGTGTCGTTTTTATTTCTAGAGAGTAAACTTGTAGTTGTTCTAGATTTATTACAATACCCTTATCAAACGTCTTGGTTCATTGAATCAAAAAATGATTAACAAGACACTTTTTTGTGTTTTTTGAATTTTTATTAATTTAAGAGATAAATGTAACATACTTTATGAAAAAGAGAATATTAAGATTGAATTAAAAATAAGCATGAAAAATAAAAGTTAAAATCTAGACTACAGTAGAAATATTAGAAATGACAAAAGTTTGAGACTACACTATAAATTATGTGATATGAGTTGGTCGTTGATATCAAGAAAACTATAGATTGTTATTTTGCTGAAGATGATGCACCAGCTGCTCTTGCTCCTATACTTTTCCCACTACTTTCACCGTCACACGATTTACAATAGCTGCCAGCAGGACATGTACAGCATGGGCTTTCACTGGCCGCACAGCAATCAGTGTCACCTCCAATGGCTTTATTAGCACTAGCTATGGTAGCTGCATCAGTCAGCTTCATCATGGCTAATAACATAAACATTAAGAGACCGAAATAAAGAGCTCCACGTGAAAAAATCATTTTAAAATTATTCACTGGAAATTCAAATTGGCTTGTATTCACTAGAAAATGCAACACTTATATATCAGCCACAAAAAATAATATACTAGTTCAATCGTTTCTATTATAGGTGATAAACATTCTTGACTATTTAGACATGTGAATTGACTTATTATAGTTTGGCTCTTAAACATACACACATTATTAAACCAAATACAATCAAAAGATAGATCAAGTTGTAAACATTATGTACAATTTAATGTCATACGTTCACAATGATATAAAGACACATGCGTGCGTAGAATAATGAGTGACGTTCCATTTGTAAATTTTATTGATAATCAAGATGTTTTGGTCGATGAAATGATATTATGAAGGTTTTCTGAGTTAGATAATTCAAAAGAACATTATAATAAACAAAGATGATTTTTATTTGCTGATTTAATAAATGTTGAATTTGTTGAAATAAATAGAAAACGATTGAGATAATCATTTAATTGATACCAATTAATATTCATGTTTTCATTACATTATTCAATATGTATTGTTAATGTTTTATTATTATTATGGGCAAGACGATTTATTGATTGTTGTAAATACATATGAGAACATTGATGAAAATTTTTTTTTTGTCATTTGTTCATTGAAATTGACATTGGTATTCATCAATATTCTCTTGTAATGAGATATTAAAAATAATTTCTAATTTTATATTTGATGCATAGAATGACTTTGTGTTTCGAATAAATCTTTCAATATTGGTACATATATTGGTTTGATGAATTCTTTTTTATCTATGATTTTCATTTACACATTAACAGGTAGGTGCAATAATGAATATTGAATAACTGTGATAATATGTGCATATATATATATAAGAGTAAAACTAAGATAAAAAATCTATAATAAATAAGATTATGTGTATAAATATATATGAGTAATATAACAGTAATTGATATTAAATAGATTGTAAGGATATATGTACAATCAAGAATCTGGATAATAACGATGAATTTTAATGATATATGCATCAATATACAAGTAATGTCTCAATCCTAAGGTTAAGCAAATAATAACACTGTGTATGTAAATATATAGGTAAATCTTAGATAATAAATACGGTATAGTAATAATACATAAAAGCATATGGGTGATATAGTTTTTTCATAAATATATAAGTAAGATCAGGATGATTGATATTAAATAAACCATATTATTATCACTGTAAATATCCTTATAAGATTCAGAAAATGAGTAATATAAAATGAATATATTATATGAATCTGTTTATAGGTATAGATTTAAAATCAAGTTGTAAATATCAAGTAAATTTTATTCATGTATTTATCAACATATGAGCAAGATATAAATAATAAATATTTGATAAACAGTAAAACTATATGTATAAGTATATAAGTAGACTCAAGAAAATAAGTTATCAATAAGTATAGTATGATAACATGTATAAGTATATGTGTAATAGAAATGCAATACATACATATATTTTTTTTTAATTATATTATAGTAATAAAATAAGTATATGTAAGGAAGGTCATGTTAATAGAAACAGAATAAATAAAGTATACGAAATCAAATGATGAAATAATCATATAAAGATATGGTTCGCTATGAGTAATCCTCTAATCAAAAAGTTCCATGATGATATATCAACTTAAACAAATAAATAATGAAGAAATTATATGATCTGAGTCTTCAACAAATTATAAAACCATGTATACAAAAATATGATTAGGATCAAGAAAATATGAGTGAGATCAAGAAATTCAATAATGAAATAATTATATAAAGATATGTATAAATGTAACCTTATGATCTAGGAGACAGTTGAATTAATTAATATATGTATAAGTGTAAGTATAGGGTCTAAATTTTTAATGAATTATAAGACATTGTTTGTAACCAAGGAGTAGGATAAGGAAAGTACGAATAAGATCAAGAAATTAAATAATGAAAGAATTATATGAAAATATATGTAAATATAGGTGTAAGATGAGGAAGACAATTGAACTATATAAAATTTAAATCTTGAATCTAATATAAGACATTGTGTTTAAATACATATATGAGTAGGAAGAAGAAGTTAAATAAATACTAAATTATTGGAATATATGTATTAATATATGACACCATGTATGTTTTTATCGGGTGGGGTGTGGGTGTGCGAGTCTGTACCTCTTGTTCTGTCACATCTACATCTACACCACAACCGCACTCACACTCACTCACACCACGCACCCACCCACATCTACTCACACCCACACCCCACACTCACACCCTCATCCCACCCTCCGGCGACTGGTTCAAAATTGTATGGCTATGAATGCGAATAGTTTGTTCCAGTCTCCTATTTTGATGACCAGAGATTTGGCTGTCGAGTGATTCATCTTAAGGCATCAATAATGTATGAGTGCTTCGATAGGAAGTCGATTTATATCTGTGTTACACTATTAAATCTATTACACAGTGGCCGCCACACCACGTAATCTTCAAGTTGTGTTGGCAAGCAAACTTTTCGACTGTTGGTTTCATTTTCGATATCTTATTTTGGGACCTATTTCCCACACCTGTAATTACTGTCAGTTGCGATATTTGTCTTGAACGGCATTCCTGCAGTTTTTGTTGTAGGTATGTGAGCGCTTCACCACTGAAAAGGCCATGTAAATCAATAACATAATCCGGCCGATATCGATTGTTATAACTGTAGATTAACTCAGAAGCTTCTTCATTTTTCTCAAGCATCCGTCTATGGAGATTCTTTTTTCTTTCCGATAATATCTTTGCTTTGACTTTACATCCCCGACGGTATTGATGCCGGGATTGTCGTGAAGTTGCTTGTACTTCAAAAAGGAGTGCACGTGCTTCAGCTCTTAGTAAATTTGATGATAATTGTGAAAATTGTTCAGATTGTTTAACTGAAACCAATGGATGATCGCCTGTATGCCTTTTGTGATTTGGGTTCGAACTGAGACATTTTGCACACAAATTATACTCATGACATATCACGCACATATACCGAATGCCAGTAATCGGATAACATACGCATGCATCGCATTTAATACTATGGATAGCTGTTTCGTCGTCTTTTTTGCCGAGTTCTGATGATGGAGATGACGTCTCTGAACATTGTCGAAAAGCATACTTGTATTTTTCTTGATTTGGTTCAAGTTGACAGAGTCGTCGATAACAATCTATTGCTTCTTTCTTACGATTCAACATCTCCAATGCTTTTCCTTTATAGAGATAACCATCTGGCCACAAAGGATCGGCTTTAATGCTCATTGAAGAATCTTTTAAAGCTTTTTCAGCGTCATTTAGATGACAACAACATTGAGCACGGCCAGTTAAATAAGGAGCATATTCTGGTACATGCTCCAATGCATGGCTGAATAATTCTTTGGCAAGAGAATATTTCTTTTCATACATTGCTGCATGTGCTTGCCATTTTATTTTTTCGGATGTGATGGTTGGCTTTGCTTGTACACTACTCATTGCATCTTAAAGAAAAATAAAGATGGATGTAAATTTGTAAAGCATAGTTCCGAGAATGATATTGAAAAATATTTATAAATATATAATAAATGTGTGCTTGTTGAACCTGAAAAATGTATAAGAATTTTCATTTTTATTGAATATAAACACAGTTATGTGCTGTATTAATGCGAAGAATTGAATTTATAAAAACTTCCCATCACAGCTTTTACTGAGAGGATGATATAAAATCAACATTCAACAAGAAAACAAACAATTTTGTTGATTTGAAGAAGCCCTAATATTCCTGAACAAAATAATGAACTCAATTTTGAAGATGACGTCTTTGTTGGTCTACTTTCCCAATACACATACTAATACTACAAAGATCAGATGGAGTGATACTGAATGCAAATCAGATTAAAAAAAAAGAGAATGCAATGCTCAAAGAAAAAGACATATTAAAAACCTAAACTTCGGCAGGACTGGGCAACTCAATTCCAAAATTGTTCAATTCAACTAAATTTATAAGTTGTCTTGATTATTCCTTGCTCATCGATTCATATTTTTGTAGCAAGAATTCTCGTTAGTCATCAAATGAAAAAAAAGAATATTATTCTTACCAGAGATATCGACATAAATTTTATTTATGAATTTTGTAGGATCTTCTTGAATTGAAAGATTTGATAATAATACAAGTCTTCTTTTTAGTCGCTTTAGTTCTTCTTCCAATAAATATAAACTTGTATCATTAGGGACTTCAGAGGAAGTTTTTGTTAATTTATTATCTAGTTGATTGCATTCCTTTTCGATGGCGTCAATGTATTCGCTTTTACTCTTCAAAAGTGTTGCTCTAGTTTGTTCTGCTGTTTCTCGAATTTTGCTGATACCATTAAGCTCCCATTCATCAACTTGATTCAATAATAAAACGTTATCTGCCGCTCTCTGCTGATTGAGTGACTGTCGAAAAATACTGCAATCCTGTTTAATATCCATTAATCGTTCATTTAATTCCCGATAATGATTTTTCAAATGAGAACTGCAGAAGTGACGAAAACATTCACCACATTTCGATGTATTTTGATTGCTGTCACAAATAACACAAAGGACCTCATCGTTTGCTGTCGCCATGCCAACTAGATTATCATGCTCGATGCATTGAATAGATTCGAATTGACAGAAGAAAAAAAATAAAAAAAATGAAGTAGCTTACACCTTTTCTGTGTCTCAACATTACGATTACTTGAGTCATTATCAACAAATTTCCATGGAGAAGAAAAGCGTGCTTTATTATGCTTTCTTTCTTGATAAAACACTTCGTGCAACTGCAAAAGAATGACAGACCAGTTATAGAGACAAATAAAATAGAGGGTGTGGGTGTGGGTGTGCGGTGTGGATGTGGGTGTGGGGTGTGGGTGTGGGTGTGGTTGGGTGTTTCTGGATGAAGATGTTAACGAAGGTGTTTGTGTTAATCTTCAATTTATCCAAATTCAAACCTATATACCTATGCACCCTCCTTCAGGGTGTGGATGTGGGCGTAGATGCCACTATCTAGTGAACAGGCAACTCACTTCAGTCCACACCCATCCACACACCCACACCCTATTAAATCAAAGAAAACCAAGATTGTTTTATGATCATAAAACAATCTTGGTTTTCTTTGATTTAATATTTTCTTTTACAGCTCTCATGATTAGCTAATATTTCTATCCAACAAATCATTTTATAAAGTGAGCATTATAGAATATGTTAAAGATATATAAGAAAATCAATTTTAACGAAGAAAACAGCTTTAGCATTCTTTTCTATTCTCATATATGTACTACTTGACTATAGACATATAAATCCATTGCAACACTTTCATCACTACTATATTTAGTTGATTTTGATTCAACGCTTATATGTCCGAGTCAATACAGGTGCTTCACGTCGACCTCATGGAACTTCAGCTGATGTCATTCAAATATGAGTTAATACTTTAAATGAGCGATAGAACGACCATGAAACCAATATTGAGAACTTATTAAATAATTTATCATTCTGATAACGAAGAAAAAATCAATGTTATATTAAAACTACGCTCTCGAACTTTATTTTTCTCACAATTAATTATAATTATCTACATATATATATATATACTATCCTATTGAAAAAAATTAATTTCTCATTTTTTTTAATGTAGAGTACTAAAATACTTGTTTTTCGACATTTTTTGCTTCAGTCTTTATCATACATACCGTCATGACTTTCCTTAGACTTCTACTCGTAACAACACTCATATTATCTTCTCCATAAATGATACTGATCATATTAATCATACATAAAGAGAGTTTCATTGATTATTATTCCACTTTATAAATAGAACAGATTGAGAGTTTTTTTTCTATTCAATCCAATATTTGTATTGATAAAGAAATGATTTTTGACATTTATTTATGGAGTTTCAAAAGAAAACAAATATTATAAATGATAAAAGACTAAAAGAATATAAGTTTAAATGATAATAATATCAAAGAAAAGAACAATTAGATTTGTTGTATGGCTAAAGAATTTTTTGATCGAATTTGTGTAGCTAATTTAAAAGCTAGTTTTGCAATAATTATCTAAAAATTCATATAAAAATAAAAATCAATGATATAATATACAGGGTGTTGCAAAACTTTTTTCTCCCCCTGGTTTGACCTTAAGATAAAATGAGTTCACTACGTATTTTATACCAAATTGAAGCCCGTAATAAACTGCATTTATTGCTACTAAACAGTAAAGATTTATAAAGACCTTCTAATATCGAAGTTCCGAGATTTCAGAAATTTGATATCTTTTTTGGTGTAGGAAAGTATGGTGCCAGTAATTCAAATACGAAATAAAACATTTTACATAGATATTTTTACATGATTCGATAGAGCTCTACAAAACTATATATTTTAAAAATACTTTGAGCCATCTTTTTGTGATAAAAAATTCAAAAAACTATACGGAGAAACACAACAGATGTCAAAAAATTCATCTTTTTTTTCATATAAAAAAATATCCAATGTTTTTCAATAACATTAGTTTTTTTCATTAGTTATGTTAGCTCAGACATTTTGAAATGTGCTCATTCGATGCAGCCTAAAAAAACTACATCGAATGATCACATTTCGACACGTCTGAGATAGCAAAAATAATTAATGAAACTTCATTTTTTTAAAATCGAGTGTTTTTCTTCCATATGAAAAAAAGATGATTTTTTTGTGTTTTTCCATGTAGTTTTTTGAATTTTCATCACAAGAAGATGGCTCAAAGTATTTTCAAAATATATAGTTTTGTAGAGCTCTATCGAATCATGTAAAAATATCTAAGAAAAATGTTTTATTTCGTATTTGAATTACTGGCGCCATACTTTTCTAGACCAAAAAAGATATCAAATTTCTGAAAATCTCGGAACTTCGATATTAAAAGATCTTTACAAACCTTTATTGTTTAGAAGCAATAAATGCAGTTTTTTACGGGCTTCAATTTGGTATAAAATATTTAGTGAACTCATTTTATCTTAAGGTCAAACCAGGGGGAGAAAAAAGTTTTGCAACACCCTGTAGTTACTGTAAAAATCAAAGCAACAATGCCCATAATTATTGCCACAAAAATCTCCATTAAAGAACCCATCGTGAAATTCTTGTTCACAACATGATTACTTGTGTTTGTGGCAGAAGAGAGTACGAGAGAACGAATTGAAATTCCAATACCAATAAAATACAAAACTATTCCAGATTTTTTTTAATTTAAAACTTTTTTCGATAAACTCTTTATTTATTATTTTATTTTAGCTTTTTTTTCAGGAAATCTTCAAAATCAATGACTATTTATTAGACCGATTATTCCAATAGAAATTTTTTTGTGAAGTACGTTTCTCATTAGGTTATATATATATATATAAATCCGTTCAAAGATCTATCAGAAGGTATATTATTCAGACATAATTTTATTATTAATTAGCTGTTTATTTCAAATGAGATTTAAATTAATGTCAGATATCATTTTAACTAGATTATCTATATTTAAACCATTTCAATCAGTTTTTTTAATAAATATTAATTACATCGATTTATCTCAATTAAATTAAAATAGAATAATTTTTAGCTGTTATTTTATTCGATTGGTAAATCTAAAATACTTCAAAAATATTTCTTCTACAAAGATTCATCAAAATAAATTATTTAATTCTTCTAATTGTTTCGGAAAATAGACTTTATTGAAATTTTCTGCGAACAAATTTTTAGAAAACAAATCTTTTTTTTTTAAATTAGAATAAAATAATTTTACTTGAAATAAATATAATAAGAATAGTATAACTATTAAAAGTTATAAAAAAAATAATTACCATTAGTAAACCGGTTACATAATATCGATAAGCGACGAATATTCCAAATCCATAGAAAATCATTGCCGTAAGAGATTCACCAACTTGTGCAGCAGGTTTAGTTGTTTGCATACGATTATGAATTCCATTTCCAAATATAGCGTTTATTATTCCGACTACACAAAAGACCTTAAATATTATAAAAATATTGCAACATTCCTTTAAACATAGATCGTTTCATTTTTCTATAGATAAATATTAAAAATATTCCTAAGAATATAAATGTTTTTAAACAATGAATATTAAAACTTATCTTTTTATTTCTATTGACGAAGTTCATTTTCATTAGCATATTCATGGATAGAAGTCAAATTTCATTAGTGCAAATAGATCTTTTCTTTCTATGACATATTATTTCAAAATTCAAAGTAAGAATAATTTCATTTTTATTAAATAAGATGCATATTGATCATTATATTAGTTTTGTATAATGCTCATTGCTTTAGTAATAGTTTTTTTTCTAATCTTTCACTGTAGAGTAGATGAAAACAGATAAGTGAAGAGAATCAATGTAAGAACAAGAAAAGTACTCAAAAATTAAAGAGAAACTCCAACGTTACAAAAGTAATCAAATGTTAATTTCTTTTTCATAATGATATCAAATATATTGGATACTACAGAAGTTCCTGGACGAAATGTTAACTTGTTCTATTTGAACAGAAGATGATAGAAAAATAATTATTTTCTTTTTTTATTTTTAGATAAAATTTGATTTCTACTTTGCAAGAATATATTTGACAGATTCTAGTAGTAATATTTATTTAAATATTATAAATACCGTAAAAAGTAGACCAAAACATTTTAAATAGTAAATCAAGATATATGCTTGTAAACTAAAATAACTTCTATGCTATATGATTGCTTAACAATCAGAGATCCACGTGGAATGGAATGGGACGCAAAAATTCATCCCATAG